AGAAGAACAAAACTACATACTGTCATCTGATAAATTGATATTATGCTATATGTGAAACTGGGAAAAGGTACATATAACGTGCAATATTTTCCAGGTAAATAACTGGAACCAATTTCTTTTCTGGGTAAGGATAGAATACACTTGTGTTTTGGAACCATGTTAAAAAAAAAAGTTATATATATGAATAAAGTGAGGAAAAAAGAATATGTGACCGTACACAGACCATACATTGATGGGAAGTAGTGGCCACTCAAGAAATTGGTTCTTGTACGGGTAAATATAGGAAGTCATATTAGTCAAGAACAAAAATTGCTAGAGATGTCCAAGACGATTAATATAGCCCGAAAAACAATAAGGTTAGATTTTTTATTTTCGAACCAATTCAAATTTGAATTATTTGTCCTTGTTTAGCTTGGGCCACTAGCCTATAGGTTAATCGGTTGTCCTGTTAGCTGTATTTATCAATTACTTGTACTAGTACAATACCCGTATATTACATAGGTGTTAAATTATAAAGCTTTTGTAAAAAATATTAAATTTTTTACTTATGTTAAAAACTAAAATAATTTAATTTTATATAAAACATTATTTTGATTTTTAATTAAATTGTCAAATTATATTTTTTTAATCATAATAATTAAACACCCGTACATTAAATGAAAATGTCAACTCGTGTTGAATTTTTTTACGTATATCATATAAAAATATCGATATTATTTTTTATTACATAAGTACAAAAATATATATCTTAAATAAATAGAAATAATATTGTGATATGTATATGCATAAGTGTAGCATATGTTTATTTAATATTAAGCAAAATAGATTAATTTTTTTACTTAATTAGATGTCTAATACATAAAATGAAATATAAAATAGTTTATGGTAACTAATTGTAGAAGTAAAGAAAAAAAAAATTTATATCCAAGCTTAACTCCAAAGCATGGTTTTTTGACAAATAGAATTCCGAAGCATGAGAGTTTGCCACGTAGGCTCAGCGCATTCTGAAATTATATATGGAGGGGATCTTTACATTATATTATATATATAATTACAATTTTCTCATTAATATTATATTCAAAATATATATTTTTTATGTCATATATTTTTTAATAAAAACAAGGCTTTATTATAATGATACATATAAATAGATAGATGAGTGCCGGTAATATATTGGTATAATTTAGTGGTAAAAATTAATTAATTTTAACATAATATAGGCATACATGATTCTCAAAATATTCTTAATTAATTTGTAAGTAACTATATGATCAAAATTACATCATGTTGTTCAAGTGGTATCACATTTGACGTCAAAACAAATGGATTGATTTTTATTATTATAAAATTTCGTAAAACTGTTTTAATATTATCTAATTAAGAAAAAGAAATTGAGTAGATTAGAAGTTTAGGTTGCAAAGCAATCAGTGTACAATAATCTCTTATAATATTATACAAACTAGCAATCATCTTGTGCACATGCACAGATGCACATAAAATATTATAAATAATATATGAGAATTCAATATTAAAATTATTAACATATTTCATTTTCAAAATTTGATCATTAGAAAAAATAAAATAACAATTGTTTATTTTTATAAACAATTGTTTGTTATCATTAGATAATAACATTGATTATTATTACAAAAACAATTGTTCACAAGATTTTAAAGTTGTTTGACTATGCTATTAAAACTATTTACTAATTGTTTTTAAAGAAATTTTTTTATAAGATATAAAAGAAAAAGACAATATTGATGTTAAAATAAATAACTTGAAACAATTGTTTATAATTATATAATTTATATTTATTGTGAATTATTATTAGTTGGTATTGGCATTAACTATTATGTAATATAATAGAAAAAATGGGATAGTTCAAATAAAAACTAGTCCTGGTGTGAGAATCGTGAGAATCGTTTTTTATGTTATTTTTCATATTAGATGATGCTATCATTTTTACAAATGGTAACAGAAATTGTGTTGCTATTTTTTAAAAAATTCATCCTGGTTAAAAATAGCATCAAACACAATCAATCATAGCACTACGGTTCTCACATTAAGACTTGGTTCTCATTTGAACCACATCCATAGAAAAAATACATGATTACACTCCATAGGATGTATTAATTGAGAAGTAAAAAAAATATTGATGATAAATTTTGTAACCGAAAATAGTGGAAAAAATTTATAGGTTTTATTTATGAGGTTTTCTTAAATGACATAGCTAGTAATTATATATATAGATTATTCTTTTTTATAGGTTATTTGAAAAATATTGTTTATATACTTTGTTGCTGTCCTGAGGACAAACAATATCGATTTGAAATTTGTTACTTATCGATAATAAATTTACAAACTTAAATATATATTTTTGAAAAAAATATCTTATTTGATAGGTACTTATAGTCAAATAAGCTCTAAAATTTTATTGACAGAATAATAAAAACATTTAAGAATCTTAAGATAATATCAATAAATAAATTATTTAATATGTAAAAATATTAGTTCACATTGTTTATTTAGTGCCCACCTTGAACATCAATGGCTCAAATAAAGAAATAATAATGAAAATATCATGATATATTTTAGAAGTTCAACTATACTTTAATGGCATGATTGGTATAAGAGAATGACATGGAATTGAATGTTCATTCTCTTACTCATTCATTATCCCATGATTGGTATATTTTATGGAAAGGAATGACCATTCCAATGGAAATTGCAAAACCCATCTCCATGTGATTAGTCATTTCATATCAAATGCAAGGTTTTTCACATTCCCATTAAAAAATAAAATTAACAAACGTCTTTTTATTTCAAACAATATATGTACAAATACAGAAAATTGTAATTTAAACGCAACAATTTTTGATAATTAAAATTATTTATAATAATCAAAAATTGTTGCGTTTAAATTACAATTTTCTATATTTGTACATATATTGTTTAAAAAAAAAAGACGTTTGTAGCCCTCAAGCCCACTATTTTTACATTCGGTTCATATTTCGATAAGCCATTTAATTTTTTTTTCTTTAGCCAACATCGCTGAGCCCGAAACCTGCTATAACTAATCCGTTTTAACATCTTTAAAAACCATCATGAGTCACGACCTGCTATATTTAGTCGGTTAACATCTCTGAAAAAATCATCGTTTTACTTTTACGCATAGTTAATAATAATAAATGAAATTGAAAATCAGTGAATGTGTACCAAATAATGCATCATATCATAACCCACTACTAATTAATTGATTAGCCAGGTAATATTGCAGCATCTCTACCTAAATCAATCCATACATAAATCAAGTGCCTTCTGATGATATATATGATAAAACAGTATAGCGAGCCCACAAACACCACACACAAAAGCAAATACTTGAATACTTTCAATGCGCACTCAATATTCTTCGATCATAGCCAGGTTAGTTAATCCCACAATTAACCGGCAAATTTATTCGGTGGCATATCTATTCACTATGACTACTATTCACTGCAATATAATCCTTACAAACAAATATGAGCATCTAGAATAATAATAGAGGATTTTTACTAAAGCTGCATTGTGGAGCTACTTTTCAAGCAAAAATAATAAAAAAAAATAAAATTAAAAAATCTACTTTAAGATGAATTTGAAATTAGAAAGCCATATATTCCGATGGCTCTTTTTCCGTCCATATGCTTCTATATAAAGCACTACAAGCAGTGCATGCAAACCCACACTTATATCGAACATTGGAAGGACAAAAAAAAAATCTTATTACATAGAAAAAAAATTTCCCCTTCCAAAATGAGAAGAAATTAAAAAGCCAATTCATTTTCCTTTCGTTTATCTTTACATTTGAGTCAGACGTAATTTACAGAGGGAACACCAAATAAATAAATAAACAAAAAAAAAAATAGAGAAATGAAGATGGGTTCGGAGTTTGTGAAGAAAANTAATATAGTAACAGAAAAAAAAATAATGAAAATTCATTCTTATGAGTACAGGAAAATCAGGCCGAGAATGACGCTGAGTGTTTTCATCAAGATCTTGCTACTTAGCTTATTCGAGTAAATATATATCGACACTTACATGCATGTGGAATGAAATTTGTGTATCATTGAAATAAATTTATTTGTAATATTTTTCTTCTTAATTTGTTTGTAACAGCCCGATTATCGGTCAGAACATGTTCTATGCCGGCATGAGATATTCTTCGGCCACGTTTGCTGCAGCTATGTGCAATCTTCTTCCTGCACTAACTTTTGTAGTGGCATGGATTCTCAGGTGTCTCACCTTTTAGCTTCACTACAACTTCATAACAACTTTTAAATATTTTAATGTTGTTAAATTATGCAACCCATTAAATATTATATCATAAATAGCGATGGCACTATATATAGTACCAACATAGAAAGTAGACTTGGATAGAAAAGATTCCAAAAGTCTGGCTCCACGATATGTTGACTGTTGACCTGACCAAAATAAAAATTCTATGCTCAAAAGCTTTCAAATAATCTCACCTTTCAATTTTTTATTTTATTTTTGATATTGCAAGTAAACAAGAATTTAACGATCCTACAGAGTTGAGAAGGTGGATTTCAAAAGTATACGCAGCCATGCAAAGATTATGGGGACTTTGGTGACAGTAGGTGGAGCCATGATTATGACTCTAATTAGCGGGCCCATAATAGGATTACCATGGACACACAAAGCCCGTGATAGTCATGCTTCGACCAATCCTAATGACAAGGAGGACCCGGTTAAGGGAGCCCTGATGATCACCGTTGGATGTCTCGGTTATGCCCTGTTTTACACTGTTCAGGTCATTAACCATTAATTCATATCAATCAATCACTTGCAACGCACGTGCTTAATGAACGTAAATCTATTTTTTACTTTTATTTTTATTTTTATTTTTTCACATTTATACAAATATAACAGGCCATCACGTTGAAGTCGTATCCTGCTGGACTTTCGCTAACGACTTTAATATGTACACTTGGAGCCTTGCTCGGGACTATTCTGACTTTCTTGGTCGAGAAGGCAAATACTTCGGTGTGGGCCCTTGGATGGGATGCCAAGCTTTTGGCTTATGTTTATGGTGTAAGATTCTTGATTTATAAATATATTTATTTACCGAGAACTTTTTTTTTTCATTTTCTTTCTCCATCGAAAGATATAAAATTTGCAGTTTGCAGGGAGTGGTGTCGTCTGGAATAACGTATTATTTATCCGGGGTGATAATGAAGACAAAGGGACCGGTTTTTGTGACGGCATTTAATCCTTTGGCCATGGTTATCATCGCAATTTTAAGCTCCTTCATTTTCGCCGAGCAAATGACAGTGGGAAAGTAAGGCGAAAACAGAACTAAA